GAACCACAGGTGGAAAAGAGGCCTTAGTTGCGTTGTCAGAAATAACAAATCTCCAGCCTCCTCCATCTCAGGAGTTTCCACCCTTGACCCTCAAGGGTTATCTCTATTTTTCCCTCCTTCCTTGCAACACGGGGCTCAGGTTCTTGGCTCTGCAGGGCCTCTGGGAAGACCTGTCCATCCTCCCTGATGTGTACAGCCTGCTCACTATCTCCTACAACTCTTCCACCTGGCAACTCAGTGCTGCAACCAAAGCCCACCACCGTTGCACAGCAGCCAGCAGCAATCCTGAACACGGCACCCCTGCCATGACAGCCACCGTGTCTCCTCCAGCCGCTGCTGTTTGCAGGATGCACTCATAGAGAAATCTTCCCTTCTCACTAGATCTCACCCAGCTCTCCAATAGCGTGCAACTGGCTCACCACCTGAAGCTAGAGGAGTAATAGCTCCTCAAAGATGCTTTTAAGACTAACTGGAGAAAATCTTTATGAAGATATTTGTCTAAAAGGTCTTGAAACTTTTTAGGTTTTTTTTTAACTCAGACAACATCGTTTGAAAATGAATTCCAGTTTAAGCAGACATTGTATAATTTTTTTTTTGTCTTTTTGTAGTTTAATTTTCCTTTATTTTAACTTCATTGCCTCCAGTTTTGGAGACAAAGGGGGGAGGACTTCTACTTTAATTGCATCGCATGTTATAAATGTCTTTCCTAAGGCAATAAAATGTAAGCTTTCCGATCTCTTCTCAGAGGACAGAAACTTCAGCCTATTCCCTAGCCATCTTCTGTTGTCTCTGAAATGTCTTTCATTGGATTGCAACACCTTTGGAAATAAATGGTAGGGCTCATCTGCCCAACAGTATGCACCCAAAGTGATTCATCTTATGGTTGGCATCTAATACATGCCTGAGGAGTCAGTCTTTAGAAATACCCATTTCTTTCTTTTGTCTAGAAAAGATGTTGAGTGATTGCTTTAGACTTAGACATCTTTTAAATGTTTAAGTAACAACAGACAAACCCCCACCCTGAGGTAACAGAACTGCACACACTATCCCAGATGACTCAGTCTAAATTTACATAAATGCAGTTTCAAATTCACCATCCCATTCCTTTTGCATCCTAAGATAACCAGGTAGAATTAGAGAAGAAAGGGACTGTATGGAACAGGGAGGTCTGAGCCAAGAGAGCAGCCAGGTACACAGACAGTTTCTCCTTAACCCTAACAAGGCTTCAAAGATTTTTCCTGGTAAAAGCTAAGTGGCTTCTAGCTGAGCCTCAGAAGTACTTCAGCAGTCATGTTCTTAAAAACTTGAGTGCTTAAAGTTTTAAACATGAAAGTTGAAGCACTGAAGAGCATAATAGGCTCAGCTA